CTGTTGTCCTCCATCCATATTTTCAGTTACAGCTGAGTCATTTTTGTGTTCATCTCTGTCATGTGGATGGAGGACAACAGAGCTGCTTCATGGAAGAACAACCTCAGATTAGCCTGTTAGCTTTAGCCACAATGCTATGTTACCTTATATGTATTAGCTCGGTGCTAGTTGTTATCTGTAGAGGTGATTATTACGGACCACAGCTCTGTCAGATCACTGATCTAAGGTCTGACCTGCTGCTTCTGGTGTTACTGACAGGTGAGATGAGGTCACCACACACACCTGGTGTTACTGACAGGTGAGATAAGGTCACCACACACCTGGTGTTACTGACAGGTGAGATAAGGTCACCACACACCTGGAATGTTCCAGTTCGAGCCTGAAACAAAACCAGATTTTTAACTGGACCTGGGGCAGCGCTCACAGCAGACCTGAAGGATCTACAGACCTTTGTGGACGTGGATGAAGATGATCTTTACTACTGATCTACTACCTGTTCTGCTCTTTACAGCAGGGTTAACCACATCTACTGTAGCCACGCCCACTGATGAGACAGGAAGTGTGTCATATTTACTGTAGCCACGCCCACTGATGAGACAGGAAGTGTGTCATATCTACTGTAGCCACGACCACTGATGAGACAGGAAGTGTGTCATATCTACTGTAGCCACGACCTCTGATGAGACAGGAAGTGTGTCATATTTACTGTAGCCACGACCACTGATGAGACAGGAAGTGTGTCATATCTACTGTAGCCACACCCACTGATGAGACAGGAAATGTGTCATATCTACTGTAGCCACGACCACTGATCAGACAGGAAGTGTGTCATATCTACTGTAGCCACACCCACTGATGAGACAGGAAATGTGTCATATCTACTGTAGCCACACCCACTGATGAGACAGGAAGTGTGTCATATTTACTGTAGCCACGCCCACTGATGAGACAGGAAGTGTGTCATATTTACTGTAGCCACGCCCACTGTGTGGGTGTCTCACCTGGAGTGTCTTCTGACAGGAGTGCTGAATGTCTCGACACAAAGAGCTTCAGCTGTTGATCCAGAACAGAAACATCCAGGTCCACCTGCCAGCAGCGCACACCTGAAACACACAGGTGACTGCTTGTCAACAACAACAACACAAGCAAACAACAAACAGACAACAAGACAGCAGCTGTGCCTGAACAGAACCTGGTGCTGTGTGCAGTGGACTGTGGGTCTGTGGACTGTCTGTGAAGCCCCCTGATGGTGCTGTTATACACAGAACTTACATTTACACGTCTCGTCCTTCACGCTGATCACCATTAGTGCTGCTCCAGTGAGTGTAAGGTCCTCACTCACTGTGGAGGGCTTTATAAGCCACGCCCACTCGTACATAATTGGTTTCAGAGGGCAGAGACGGATCGACCAATCACAGCAGAAGGCAGAGACGGATCAACCAATCACAGCAGAGGGCAGAGATGGATCGACCAATCACAGCAGAGGGCAGAGACGTATCGACCAATCATAGCAGAGGGCAGAGATGGATCGACCAATCACAGCAGAGGGCAGAGACTGATCGACCAATCACAGCAGATACTCTGACAGAAGCATGTTTGTTTCCACATGTTGATAATTTACAATTATTAAATAATTATTTAAAGTAAAATAAAACTTTTGTCATTTTCTTTAAAGTTCATCACATGTTGGTTATCTAAGACAAAAAGTGAACTCTGTTTTCACTCAGAGTGACACATCCTGTCTGTTTGCCCCTATCTCTGATAGAGAAGTAGTTTCCTGTTCAAACAGGAAGCTGATGTGTTGTAACAACTTCCTCTTTGTCAACAACAACAACATGAAGGTTGTGGCCTTCAAACCAACGAGTCCTTTTAACCCAGTCTGAGGGACTGGTCCGGTCTGAGGGACTGGTCCGGTGGGTCCGGTCTGAGGGACTGGTCCGGTGGGTCCGGTCTGAGGGACTGGTCCGGTGGGTCCG